CTGGAGGGCCAGCAACAGGGCATAGAGGCCGAGGCCTTCATAAGAACATCAGAAGAGCCCTGCTGGATCAGACCAGTGGTCCATCTAGTCCAGCATCCTGTCTCACACAGGGGCCAACCAGTTCCTCTGGAGGGACAACAACAGGGCATAGAGGCCAAGACCTTCACAAGAGCCTCAGAAGAGCCCTGCTGGATTAGACCAGTGGTCCATCTAGTCCAGCATCCTGTCTCACATAGAGGCCAACCAGTTCCTCTGGAGGGCCAACAACAGGGCATAGAGGCCGAGGCCTTCATAAGAACATCAGAAGAGCCCTGCTGGATCAGACCAGTGGTCCATCTAGTCCAGCATCCTGTCTCACACAGTGACCAACCAGTTCCTCTGGAGGGCCAACAACAGGGCATTGAGGCTGAGACCTTCACAAGAACCTCAGAAGAGCCCTGCTGGATCAGACCAGTGGTCCATCTAGTCCAGCATCCTGTCTCACACAGTGACCAACCAGTTCCTCTGGAGGGCCAACAACAGGGCATTGAGGCTGAGACCTTCACAAGAACCTCAGAAGAGCCCTGCTGGATCAGACCAGTGGTCCATCTAGTCCAGCATCCTGCCTCACACAGTGGCCAACCAGTTCCTCTGTAGGGCCAACAAGAGGGCAGAGAGGCTGAGGCCTTCATAAGAACATCAGAAGAGCCCTGCTGGATCAGACCAGTGGCCCCAATAGTCCAGCATCCTGTCTCACACCTCTGGAGGTCCAACAGCAGGGCATAGAGGCCGAGGCCTTCCCTTGATGTTGCTTCCTGACTTTGGGATGCAGAGGATTAGTGCCTCTGTTCGTGGAGGTTCCCCTCAGCCCCTCTGGGTAGTAGCCATGGATAGACGTATTCTCAATGAATCTATGTGACACTGTCACTGTGTGACACAGAGTGTTGGGCTGGATGGGCCATTGGCCTGATCTAACCTGGCTTCTCTTATGTTCTAACTAAAGCAGTCCACTGAGGGGGAGGGAAGGAGGGAGGGAGAAGTGACCGCCTTCGTGTTGCAGGATGCAAATACAGAGAGAGCCGGAATAAAGGTGGGGAGATGCCGCTGCTGCGTGCTTTGGGCGAAGGATACGTGCAAATCTTCTCCACGCTGAAGGGCTGCTGGGAGTTGAGCACCAGGTAGGCGAGGCAGGAAGCCATGACGGCTGCGTTGTAACTGCTCAGGAAGACCACAAAGAGGAAGAAGGAGCGGATGTTGTGGCGGCCAACGCAGTTGTTGATCCACATGCAGTGGTGATCAAAGTCCTGCAGGGGGAGCCAGAGAGTTAGAAGCCAGCCCTCGAGGGAACCTCCCCGGGGCCATTGCTTCCTTTGAGCCCTCTGACTAGACCCCCTTTTCCGGCCAGCCAGTTCCAATGACTATAGGGGGTGGCAGAATGTAGGGCTGCCAACTCCAGTTTGGGAATTTCCTGGAGATTTGGGCCTGTGGAAAGGGAGATCGGGGAGGGATTTCACCTCCCAGGCCGGTGTCCAGATGACAGAGATCAGCTTCCCAGGAGAAAATAGCAGCTGCAGAGGGAGGGCTCTAAGGCAGGTTCCCCCAACCTGGTGCCCGTGGGCGACGGCACCTGCCAACCAGTGTTCCCTCTAAGCTGAGTTAGTGTGAGCCAGCTCACAGTTCTTTAGCCTCCGGCTCGCACATTTTCGCCTTAGCTCAGGAAGGAGGGCTCCAGAGCCAACGAATTGACGCAGCAGCCAAATCGCCCGCTCGCAAGTTTAATGCCAGTCGCTCACAAAGTGGAATTTTTGCTCACAAGACTCCACCGCTTAGAGCAGGGGTGTCAAACATGTGGCCTGGGGGGCGGATCAGGCCCCCCCGGAGGGCTTCTGTCTGGCCCACGGTGGAACTGGCCATCTTCTGCGTCTTCTTCCAGTTCTGCTGCTGCTGCCGCCTCATCGTAGGTTTGCAGTTTACAGATACACACCTGAACGGCATACTCAAGATTGCAACAGCACAGACAATTTGATGCAATCATTCACAGCAAGAGGTGTCAGTTATCAGGCACTGTGAAATAAAGATATTGCAAGAGTGCTCACAGGCTCAAAAAGGGTGGGTGATTCCTGCTCTAAGGGATACCATTTCTAAGAGAAACGGATGTCCCTCCCCAAATATCAACTCAGCCACCCCGATATCCGGGAATTTCCCAAGCTAGATGCTCTAGGAGGCCAGGGATGGATCTTCTCCGCGTTTTTAATTGATTACCGCCACGGTGAGGTTGCCCCATCCAGACTGGGTGCTAGCAACCAGTGCTCCCCCTAAGCCAGGGGTGTCAAACATGCAGCCCGAGGGCCGGATTAGCCCCCCCCCCCCCGGGGGCTTCTCTCAGGCCCGCAGTGGAACTGGCTGTCTTCTGCTTCTCCTCCAAGTTCTGCTGCTGCTGCATCATCGTAGGTTTGCAGCTTACAGAGACACACCCAAACAGCATACTCAAGATTGCAACAGCACAGGCATTTTGATGCAATAATTCACAGCAAGAGGTGTCAGTTATCAGGCACTGTTAAATAAAGAAAATGTTGCCAGACCACTGATGTTTTAAGCATGATTTTATTTTAAGTTAAAAAAAAAACACCTTTTGTGTTTGTGTCCTTTATAAAGTTTATATCTCTGCTACCTGGGATTACATTTTACGGCACACCGGCCCCGGCCCAACAAGGTCTCATTTATGTCAGATCCGGCCCTCGTAACAAATGAGTTCGACACTCCTGCTCTAAGCTGTGGAGTCTTGTGAGCAAGAATCCTAATTTGTGAGCTCCTGACACTCAAGTTGCGAGCGAGCGCTTTGGCTGCGGCATAAATTAGTTTACTCTGAAGCCATCGTTTCCTGAGCGAAGACAAAAAGGTGTTGAGCCAGAGGCTAAAAAACCTGAGCTAGCTCACACTAACTTAGCTCAGAAGGAACACGGCTGCTAAAAGTGGAAAACCCACCCTACAAAGCCACGTATGCCTGAGCTGTCTTGGAAGACCCCGCCAAAACGTACCTCTACACAGGTATTGCACCAGGCGCAGTGGAAGGTGTGCGGCAGGCCGTGGAGCTGGCAGCGGTTACACCAATGCTGTCTGGGTGCTCTTATGATCACCGCCTGGTTCGCCAGCTCAGCTTCGATGCCTGGGAGTGGAAAAGAACACCGTGGAGAATGGGCAGGTGGCATCAGTCCTGACCCCACAATCAGAGGCACTTCTGTCTTGGAAGAACATCAGAAGAGCCTGCTGGGTCAGACCAGTGAGGGTCCATCTAGTCCAGCCTCCTGTCTCACATGAAGGCCAACCAGTTCCTCTGGAGGGCCAACGACAGGGCAGAGAGGCTGAGGCCTTCGTAAGAACATCAGAAGAGTCCTGCTGGATCAGACCAGTGAGGGTCCATCTAGTCCAGCCTCCTGTCTCACATGAAGGCCAACCAGTTCCTCTGGAGGGCCAACGACAGGGCAGAGAGGCTGAGGCCTTCGTAAGAACATCAGAAGAGTCCTGCTGGATCAGACCAGTGAGGGTCCATCTAGTCCAGCCTCCTGTCTCACATGAAGGCCAACCAGTTCCTCTGGAGGGCCAACGACAGGGCAGAGAGGCTGAGGCCTTCGTAAGAACATCAGAAGAGTCCTGCTGGATCAGACCAGTGAGGGTCCATCTAGTCCAGCCTCCTGTCTCACATGAAGGCCAACCAGTTCCTCTGGAGGGCCAACGACAGGGCAGAGAGGCTGAGGCCTTCGTAAGAACATCAGAAGAGTCCTGCTGGATCAGACCAGTGAGGGTCCATCTAGTCCAGCCTCCTGTCTCACATGAAGGCCAACCAGTTCCTCTGGAGGGCCAACGACAGGGCAGAGAGGCTGAGGCCTTCGTAAGAACATCAGAAGAGTCCTGCTGGATCAGACCAGTGAGGGTCCATCTAGTCCAGCATCCTGTCTCACACAGTGAGTCAGTGACAGTGACACACCAGTTCCTCTTGAGGACCAACAACAGGGCAGAGAGGCCAAGGCCTTCCCTTGGTGTTGCCTCCTGTTTCTGGGATTCAGAGGCTTACTGCCTCTGAATGTGGAGGTTCTCTTTAGTCACCATGACCAGTAGCTGGTGTTGCCAGATACGGGCTGGAAAATCCCTGGTTGCTTGGGGGCAAAGTCCGAGGAGTGCAGGAGTTGGGGAGGGGAAGTGGGGTATAATGCCGTCGTGTCCACCCTTCAAAGGAGTCTTCTCCTCTTGGAGAACTGATATCTCGAGTCTGGAAATCCCCTGTAATTCCACGAGATCTCCAAGCTCCACCCAGACGCTGGCAGTTCTACTAGTAGCCAATAGGGTTGCGAAGTACTTACCTCAAATTGGCGGGGGACACACGGTTTCTGGCCGGAACATTTCTGCGTGTAAGACACGCACATGCGCGCTACAATGCTGTCGCCCAGACGTGATGGGCGCATTGTGGCGCGCGGTGGTTTTCCGAGCGGGACTGTTCCTGCCAGGAACCATGTGACCCCCGCCAATTCGAGGTACGTACTTGGCAGCCCCAGTAGCCACTGAGAGAAACTTTCGAGAGTCAAACCTCCCTTCGTCAGACGCAAGGAGCAGTGGAGACCCCTGAGCCTATGGGAAGATTCAACCGATCTCTGTGCGTGATTCTGCTGTTTACCTTTGCGGAGAACGCCCGTGTCGGTGAAACTGGCGAAGAGGAAGAAGATCATGGTGGGGATGAAGAGGAGGCCGCAGATGATGGGGAAGCCCCAGGAGACGTGGAGAGTGAGCCAGGTGCAACTGAAAGGGAAGCAAAGGGATGTCACAGGGTTGCCAGCCTCCAGGTGGGGCCTGGAGTTATCCCGCTTTTACTACTGATCCCCAGCCGATAGAGATCAGCTCCCCTGGAGAAAAATGGTTGCTTGGAAGGGTGGATTCTGTGGCTTTGTACCCTGCTGAGGCCCCTCCCCTCCACAAACCCCGCCCTCTCCTGGCTCCACCTCCAAAGTCTCAAGGTATTTCCCAACCCAGACCTGGCAACCCTAGGACGTCAGCTCCCTCTTCTTGCGTCTGTCGGGGGAAAGTAGTCACCGAGAGTGACCCATCGAGAGCCTAAAAGCAAAAGCCCCCCCCCTTTAACTTATTTATTTGTAGTTTTTCAACATGCCCTCAGAGGGGGGTAGTACATAGAAACACATAGTAACAGCAAGAACGTAATAACAAGTTAGGGAGCTATAGATAGGTATCACTATAATTTGTTGTTATTGTTATCTATCCACTTATACAAATTTTGCCATCTCTGGTTAAACTTCGTAACATCTCTATTATGCAATATTGTGGTCAACTTATCCATTTCAACCGCCTCCAACACTTTACATACTAACTCTTTCTTAGAGGGGGTAGCCTCTTGCTTCCAATATTTGGCGATAAGAATACGGGCTGCAGTTACTATAGACGTAGTTATGTGTTTTATATTTTCGGGGTATACGTCTGATACAGAAGTATCTTCTCGATGACTACGTATCTGATGAAATAGTTAAAAAATCCATGATCTCTTGGATGCAAGACTTTGACTGCCCTCAGGACATAAATATAGATACTTGGTCTAAGACATGGGGCTCAATGAAGTATCTGCGATCTATACCCTACAAGGAAAATATGTATAAAATGGCCCATTTTTGTTGTTGTTGTTGTTGTTCAGTCGCACAGTCGAGTCCGACTCTTCGCGACCCCATGGACAATCTCCCGCCAGGCCCTCCTGTCTTCCGCCATCCTCTGAAGTTGGCTCAATTTCATGTTCATTGCATCTTTGACACTGTCCAACCATCTCATCCTTTGCCGTCCCCGTCTTCTTTGACCTTCAATCTTTCCCAGCATCAGGGTCTTCTTCTCCAGTGAGTGCTCCCTTCTCATTTGGTGGCCAAAGTATTTGAGCTTCAATTTCATTATCTGGCCTTCCAGGGAACCGTCAGGGTTGATTTCTTTGAGGATTGACTGATTTGTTCTTCTTGCAGTCCAAGGGACTCTCAAGAGTCTTCTCCAGCACCATAGTTCAAAAGAATCTATTCTTCGGCGCTCGGCCTTCCTTATAGTCCAACTCTCGCAGCCATACATGACTACTGGGAATACCGTTGCTTTGACCATGCAGACTTTTGTTGGCAGGGTGATGTCTCTACTTTTTATCATGCTGTTTAGGTTCGCCATCGCTTTCCTCCCAAGGAGCAGGCGTCTTTTAATTTCATGGCTGCAGTCACAGTCTGCGGTGATCTGGGATCCCAGGAACGTGAAGTCTGTCACTACTTCCACGACTTCCCCTTCTATTTGCCAAGGAGTGATGGGGCCGGATGCCATGATCTTAGTTTTTTTGATGTTGAGCTTCAAGCCCACTTTTGCGCTCTCCTCTTTTACTCTGAGCAAGAGGCTCTTTAGATCCTCTTCACTTTCAGCCATTAGAGTGGTATCATCTGCATATCTGAGGTTGTTGATCTTTTCCCCAGCAATCTTAATTCCCGCTTGTGATTCATCCAGGCCAGCATTTCGCATGATGTACTCTGCATATATATGGCACCTAACCCCAGAGAAGTTAGTTAAATGTTACCCGAATCTCTCCAGTAATTGCTGGAAATGTAAGAACAATGTGGGTACATACTTTCATACCTGGTGGAGATGTAGCATAATACAGAACTTCTGGCTTAAGGTACATAGATTCATCGTTGCCATCGTGGAACGGGACGTACCATTCTCCCCAGAACTTTTTCTTCTAAATATGATGCCGAAAGCAAAAGCCCCTTGAGGACATTTGTTTGAAAGGCGGGATGTATCAGAATGCCCTACTTGAGTGGCCCAGGAGGGCCTGATCTCATCGGATCTGGGAAGCGAAGCAGGGTCACTCCCGGTTGGTACTTGGATGGGGGACCCCCAAGGAAGCCCAGGGTTGCTACGCAGAGGTGGGCAAGGGCCAACTGCCTCTAAACGCCTTGTGTCTTGAAAACCCTACGGGAACGCCAAAAGACAGCTGAGACGATGGGGCGCAATGACTAGGCCTGGTCCGGAATAGCTCAGGCTAGCCTGATCTCGTCAGAACTTGGAAGCTAAGCAGGGTTGGACCTGGTTAGAACTTGGATGGGAGACCAGCAAGGAAGTCCAGGGTTGCTACGCAGAGGCAGGCAAGGGGAAACCCACCTCTGTTGGTTTGCCCTAGAATCATAAAATAATAGAATCACAGAATCACAAAGAGTCGGGAGGGGCCAGACAGGCCATCTAGTCCCACCCCCTGCTCAGTGCAGGATCAGTGGTGGCGAACCTTTTAGAGACCGAGTGCCCAAACTGCGACCCAAAACCCACTTATTGATCGCAAAGCGCCGACACGGCCATTTAACCTGAATACTGAGGTTCTACTTTAGAAAAAAACAACTCCTACGTTAACTTAAGATGATCCAAACGAAGTAAGGAAAGCAATCCCAAATGCTTTCGTTTACTTAAAATTAATAGGCAGAGAATTCAACATTTTAATGATGGTCTGGGCCTGGCTGGGGCGATGGCACGCGTGCCCACAGAGAGGGCTCTGAGTGCCGCCTCTGGAACCCGTGCCATAGGTTCGCCACCACTGGCCTAGAGCATCCCTGACAAGGGTTTGTCCAGCCGCTGCTTCAAGACGGCCAGGGAGGGGGAGCTCACACCGCCTCCCCAGGCAGCTGATTCCACAAGTGACAGCATTTATCTACCTAAACGAACCCCAGAGTCTTCTGGACCAGACACGCCTCTGAATGTCTCTTGACTTGAAAACTTCATTGGGGGCACCATAACTCCTTTCACGACTTGATGGCCTTTCCCATCAGCACCATATACAGGCAAACGGACTAAAGGAAAGCAAAAGCAACCCCTCCCCCTTTCTCTGTGTGGTTGCCTACTAAGAATATAAGAACATAAGAGAAGCCAATATTGGATCAGGCCAATAGCCCATCCAGTCCAACACTCTGTGTCACACTGTGGCCAAAAATACCAGGTGCCATCAGGAGGTCCACCAGTGGGACCAGGACACTAGGAGCCCCCCCACTGTTGACCCCGCCAAGCACCAAGAAGACAGAGCATCACTTGCCCCAGACCGAGAGTTCCTACCTATACCTTGTGGCTAATAGCCATGGATGGACCCCTGCTCCATAGAAGAACATAAGAGACACCAATGTTGGATCAGGCCAAACGTCCATCCAGTCCAACACTCCGTCACACAGTGGCCAAAAATACCAGGTGTCATCAGGTGGTCCACCAGTGGGCCCAGGACACTAGGAGCCCTCCCACTGTTGCCCCCCCCCCCAAGCACCAAGAATACAGAGCATCGCTTGCCCCAGACTGAGAGTTCCTATCTATACCTTGTGGCTAATAGCCATTGATGGACCTCTGCTCCATATGTTTCTCCAGTTCCCTCTTGAAGCTGCCCATACTTGTAGCTGCCACCACCTCCTGTGGCAGTGAATTCCATGTGTTCATCACCCTTTGGGTGAAGAAGGACTTCCTTCTATCTGTTCTAACCTGACTGCTCAGCAATTTCATGGAGTGCCCAGGAGTTCTTGTATTGTGAGAAAGGGAGAAAAGGACTTCTTTCTCTACCTGCTCTATCCCATGCATAATCTTGTGAACCTCGATCATGTCACCCCTCAGCCGTCGTTTCTCCAAGCTAAGGAGCTCCGAGCGCCTTAACCTTTCCTCATAGGGAAAGTGTTCCCACCTTTTGATCATTCTAGTTGCCCTTTTCTGCACCTTTTCCAGTGCTATAATATCCTTTTTGAGGTGTGGTGACCAGAACTGCACACAGTACTCCAAATAATAATAGGGGTGGATGAATAAGATAAGCCAATCTCGCCATCATTAAGGAGGGCAATTTGTTTCTAGAGAAGTAGCTTTGATTCCATGGATACCGAGGAGCGGCCAGGATCCAAAGAACCATACAAGGAATCCTGAATGCCCAAGAGGACTTTGGACTTCCCTTTCCAAGGATGCAAACCACTCCTGAAAGCAGAGGGCATTGCCCATGAGGTCTCTGGGCTGAAATGATTGTTTCGGGAAGTTGTAAAAAAAGCAGGATGAGAATGTCTTTGACTATACCGCAATGCCTAGTTGTGACATTGTCATTATATAATTATATGGGACACACAGTATTACTTCTTTGCATTAGTTCATTTTTATATTTACGGGGTCATTTCCTGCAGGAGCGCACAGGAGTGGAGCCCAGGGGGCGGGCACATGCAACAAGCCCCACCCCTTGCTCCCAGCAGCCCTCAGTCAGAGCAAGAAGCAGGCAGGTAAGTTGTAGAGCCCCCCCGCCCCCCCCAGTCCAAAACAGTCCAGTGGCACCTTTTAGACCAGTATTTATTCAGGTACAAGCTCTCCCTCCTCTGTGAGGACAGATCTGCACATCCCCCCCGCAATAGCTAGCAATCCAAAACAGTCCATTGGAGCCTGAGCGGTGGGTGTGGCCTTCTGACACACTTCCGGTGATGCCAGGGGGTGTGGCATATGCAAATGAGTTATGCTAATGAGCCCCTGCACCTCTTTTTCTACGAAATGACCCCTGTATCTACCTAAACACAAGGGTTATAGTTACTAAATTGCTCTTGCTGACAACATAGTAAAATCACTAGTACCACAAAGCTTTGCAAACTGTTTAAGCTGTTTATGCTGTTCTGTATGTTTAACACTACTGACTATTACTTACTTTTGAGAAAAAACTTAATTAAAATAATTAAAAGGAAAAAGGAAGAAGAAAAAAAGAAATCCATGGGCCAGGATTGTGTAATTAGAATAACAGAATCACAGAGTTGGGAGGGTCCACAGAGGCAATCTAGTCCAACCCCCTGCTCAATGAAGGATCAGCCTAGAGCATCCCTGACAAGGGTTTGTCCAGCCGCTGCTTCGAGACTTCCAGGGAGGGGGAGCTCACTACCTCCCCACGCAGGCGATCCCACTGTTGCTCAATTCTGACTGTCAAAAAGTTTCTCCTAAGATCCAGCCGGGTACCTTCCCACCCTTCATTTAAACCCATTCTTGCGAGTCCTCTCCTCCGCTGCCAACAGGAGCAGCTCCCTGCCCTCCTCTTAGGGCCAGCCCTTCAAATCCTTCAAGAGAGCCATCCTGTCCCCCCTCAACCTCCTCCAGACTGAACATTCCCAAGTTCCCTCAGCCTTTCCTCGTAGGGCTTCTTGGTCTCCTCCAGGCCCCCGATCGTCCTTGTCGCTCTCCTCTGCACCTGCTCCATCCTGTCCACATCCCTTTTTGAAATGAGGCCTGCAGGACTACGCACAATACTCCAGGCACAGCCTGACCAATGCATCGTACAGCGGGACCAGGACATCTTGCGATTTGGATGTCATGCCTCTATGGCCCTTCAGGTACTTAAAGAGAGCAATCCTGTCTCCTCCTCCTCCGCCTCCTCTTCTCCAGACCAAACATTCCCAAGAAGTCCCTCAGCCTTTCCTCGGAGGGCTTCTTGGTCTCCAGGAACCCAGTCATCCTCTTCGCTCTCCTCTGCACCCGCTCCACTCTGCCCACATCCTTTTTGAAGGGAGGCCTCCAGAACTGCACACCACTCTGCCCACATCCTTTTTGAAGGGAGGCCTCCAGAACTGCACACAGGACTCCAGGTGCAAATTCGGGACCTCAACTAGGGTTGCCAGATCTGGGTTGGGAAATACCTTGAGATTTTGGGGGGCGGAGCCTGAGGAAGGCGGGGTTTGAGGAGGGGAGGGGTTTCAGAATCTACCAGTTTGCCAGTTTGGTGTCGTGGTTAAGTGCGCAGACTCTAATCTGGGAGAACCGGGTTGTATTCCCCACTCTTCCACTCGCACCTGCTGATGTGACCTTGGGCAAGCCTGTAGCTCTGATAAGAGCTGTTCTTGAAAAAGAGCCGTTTCTGTCAAGAGTTCTCTCAGCCCCACCTACCTCCCAGGGTGTCTGTTGTGGGGAGGGGGAGGGAAAGGAGTTTGTAAGCCGCTCTGAGACACCTTTGGGTAGTGAAGGGTGGGGTG